ATGCTAGACGGAGTCAGAACGATTGCGAGCTAGGGAACAAGGGTCCACCTAGGGCTTGGGAAGGAGCTACTAGCTGAATAAATTAATTCCTTGACTATTTAAAGAGTTTTCTTTCGATTTTGTGATCAAGTGGTTCCACTTATTTGGAAGTATGTTAACAGAAGTTTATGAAAGGCCCTGACAACTTGTAATGCGAAACTATAACGAGAAAATTCAAAAAATTACCTTTTGTACATCATTCATCCATCTTTGCGGACTATTACCGTCGACTTCACCGTCTGGTCGTACACTATCTACCTGAAACAGCTTGTGACTAGACAAAGATCGAAGACTTTTCTTTTCTTCCTAAGCAATGGGCACAATTGCTGGAGGCGGGCGGTTGTAGCCCCTGTCATTGGCAGAAAGGCTGCGGCCACATCTCACCCAGCTTTTCCACCACGGCGACAACAGCCCGCCCCCAGCCATCGTGCCCCTTGTCTCTCAAGTTGAAGTTGAACTTGCTGTGTGAAAATAAAAAGGTAACTCACAAGCATTTTAAGCTCGGCTTCACAGCATTCCAAAGCAGGGATCAAGGCAAGCATTTTATTCATGTGTTGGAGCACATGAGGTGGTAAATTCATTTGTTGCAGCACTGACATATCAAGGTAACCCTGAAAATAGTAGAATTAAAAAGATGAAAGTATATCCAAAAGATAGAACTACAAAAGGCCAGAATGAAGCGTAATTCTCACCTTATCAACCGCATACTTCAACTGATCAGCAACGGCTTGAGTATGGGGCTGCGAGGGACCAGGTGGCATTGGGGCTGCAGCTGTATTTGGCTGGCCCCATGCGGGAGCTTCAGGGGCAAATGGTTGAGGCTGTTGCTGAGAAGGCAAGAACCATGGCGAGTCAGTAGCATGTTGTGAATGTGACGGCAGATCACCCCATTTACCAGAACCCGGTTGAGCTTCATCTGAAATAATGAGCAGGACTTCGAATAGTTACACTCCCACTAAAATTGTAAGGTAACACGGTTCAGTTAATAATCTCACCATGCTTTATTGGATTGTTGGGATCGTTCTCTGGCAGTTCACCCCAGCCGGTGACAACTATGGGACGTTTGGACGGGATCGGAAACGGCAATCGTGCTGAGCCATCCTCATTCTGAATATGACCTTATCAGCATCATACTATGCAAGGCTACGTTCATAATTTGCTCCGGCGTTTTGAGCGTACGGCAGCGCTATGAGCTTCTTGGGCGACTAGAAAAGTATAGGTATTAATCTTACGTGCGCCTGCGTTCTGAGTGCTTTGCGGGTAGCTTCGAGCTTTTTGTGGGCAGTCGATCAAAGCACAAGCAAAGCAAGTTGCTGGCGCGTGAGCTAGATCAATACCCATACTTTCTCATCGCTCGCCACCGTACGCTTAACATGCTAACGCAAAGTATGAACGCAGCTCAGGAATATACACAAGGGATGTCAAGCATCACAATGGAAGTTGGGACACGTGTCAACGAACACTAGACAGAGACACAGGGTAAGCGTTTTAGACTAACACTTCCATCCACCTTCTTCTGCGGCACCGGACATTTCATCAATGCTACTTCAAGATCCTCTTCTTCTCCTTCACCGATCATCCACAAGCGCACCGGACGTTCATCTTCAATGAAAAACGTTACAATTTACAGAATTACAAGAAGAAATATGAAACTTCATTACGTACTATTCTTCTCAGGGTCACCCCATAACGAGACACCAGTGTCACGCTGCCATTTCTTCAGATCACCATTAGGATCGTGCCACATCAAATCGTCAACGCCACCAATTGGAAACTGACTTGGGGCAGCTTGAGGCTTACCAGACATTATCAAAGGAGCAGCCATCTAAAAACAATATGCATGCACCACAGATTTCAGGTTTATTTTCCAGGATACCAATAAACGAATAACAAAAGTTGCGGGACAACTCACTTGACCAAATGCTGCTGGCCCTCGGATCCCATTCGGAGCGACTCCGATTTCAGGTTTCCACGTTCCGGCTGCATTTGGAGGAGCCATTTGTCGCATTCCCGACATTCCGCTCAGCTGAAATTTTTCATACATCCAATAAATACTATAAACAAAACTATCCGTATGAACGAAAACTAACAGGTAGATCAATGGGAGGAGGAACACTCATATCCATGCCGCCAGGAGGATAGCGACCACCAGCCGGACCACCTCGTCCCATTCCACCACGCGGCATACCAGTAAGACGTTGCTGATCCCATGGCATAGCCTGCTTCCCAACAGGTGGCCCACCCATCATACCGCCATTTGGCGCCCATACTAAAATTGTGACAGTTACTTCATGATGGCCTTATTCGTAGGAAAAAAACGAAATGAGTACCAACATAACTGTAACAGTAAAACTCACCTTGTGGAGGTCGTTGCACAAACATTCGCGGTGGTTGTCCATGCCCGCCATGTTGCGGTGGTGGAGCATTAGGATGAATCTGACGAGGAGGCCAAGCACCCATACCACTCGGTGGTCCACCCCATCCTCCAGCCTGAAATAGTATGAGTGGGCAATAAAAACGACTTCAAGAGAATCAAGTAAGTCTAGACATGGCCAGGTTGTAAGCTTACTTGTTGCTGATGTTTCCAATACCCATCATGTTCTTGCTTCTGTAAATCGCTCCATAATGGCATCTGATTCAAGCCTGGAGTTGCACCCATCCAATCGCTACCACCTTGTGGATCCATCATACCGTTCATACCTCCTAAAACGTGAACCAGTTAGTAAACGAAGATTATACACGTGTAACGTATAGCTGTAAGCAGAAACAAGGTTCAGGCGTTCATAGCTACAGAGGGATGAAGCACGGCATGTTCAAAGGAAACGAGTAAAGCATAATCCTGGGACCAAATGACGTCATCTCCGTAAGTATGGATATTACTTTTCTGTCGAGTAGGTAAGAAACAGTGGGAGAACATACACAAGGGCAGTAAGCTGATTTTTCGAATGAAAAAAAAATATCGACACCAGCTGAATAACATTGGGTCAATGCAGGCTGAAGCAATGAGAAAGAGTACACTCTGTACCCCAGGGGTCGTAATTGCGGACTGAGTCTTGCTCATGGCAGTGGTATCCAGGTTTTCTGCCTCTCTTAGTACTACTCGAGTTCGTCAGGCTTCAGTGTCATTAGTTCATTATCATTAGGTTCCAAATCTAAACAGCGAATCACTTCTTTGGCAGAAACCATTGATTTTTTCCAAAGCCACTGCCACGTGGTCCACTAAGTGCGCAATTATGACCAGTCTAACACCCGGATATAGAGTGTATGCAAGTGCTACCAGTAAAACACCGTGCATTTTATTATGAAATTAAAAAAACGAAACAGAAAGGAGAAGCAAGAAGATTCCCAAACAACGAAAATGACCATTTCGTCGTGGTGGGCTTCCAACTTTTCCGTTACTGGTCAGTATTGCCCAACCACAAAACTCCAATTTGGCCACCACTCACACTGCATCATGCATGCATTAAGGGTGCTAGAGCGTTACTTACGATGATGTCCGTGCATGGGGTTAAACTGTTGTTGCTGTTGATCTACGTGAGGGTCGGACCAGATTTTCGCGGCCTCACCGAAGTCGCCTGGTGCCGCTCCCATTGGCGCACCCCAACTCGCTTGACCACCAGGAGTTGCGCCGATTCCCAGAGCATCATTTACGCCTTGTGCTGAAAAAAAGCATTATATAATATTTTCGTTTATCAAAAAATCCCACACGTATGTCCTAACTCCCTGGTTTTGAACAGCATTCGCAATTGCATAAAATATCCAATAAGCAAAAAAAATATAGAAAACTCGAAACGAATTTAGCATTTTGAAATGTATCTTCAGGCGCGGATAGCTTGACCCGTCCAAAATTTTTATAATTTATTGGCTCGACATTTCGGCATCAACATTTCGGCTTCCTCAATTTAATGAAGGCTTTGAGACGATTTCGAGATCTTAGTTAAATACCTAACGAACGGTATCGATCGATAAGGATGAGTTGGATTACTCTGATCCCAGCCGCCGATGACGTGTAATCGACCACCCAAGTTGTGGTACTGCTAACAGCGAGCTTCCATCTCCACTCCGCGACCTCACCCCCAACTCACCCTTATCGACCAATACCTTTAGGTGGTTAACTAGGATCTCGAAATTGTCACAAGTTCTTGTGAAAGCGTTTGAGGGACAATCTCAATTGTTCTGGACTCTTTCAGGCCCTGACGAAGGCGAGGAAGCCGAAACGTTGGCCAATAAATTGTAAAAATCTTGGACGGCTCAACTTATCCACTTGCTTGAAGACACATTAATGGCAAGATTAAGGGTAGGTCGATCCTGATCCGTTTTTTGCACTGTTCAACTATTACTACCGCAATTTTCCGAGAACGGGCCGGATTTGATCGACTTTTTTCTACGGGGGCAGATTTGGCTGAAAGTTGGGTTCTAGGGGTAATTCGACCTCCTGAACACGAATATCACTTCGCTCGGCCTGAAACCGCTCGGCGCCCGCGCCACAGGCGCCGGCGCCAAAATGCCCTAAATCACTGGCGCCTGTGGCGCGGGCGCCAGGCACTTTCAGGCCAAGTGGATGTGATATTCGTGTTCAGGAGGTCGAATTACCCCTAGAACCCAACTTTCAGCCAAATCTGCCCCCGTAGAAAAAAGTCGATCAAGATCCGGCCTGTTTTCGCAAAACTGGGGTAGTAATAGTTGAATAGTGCCCGTTTTTTTCGTATGAGCACTTAAAGACACTGTACGAGCTGATGACCTCCAAATATGAATTAGCTTCTCAGGGAATCAAAAAAAAGAAACTTGGAAAACGCCCTAAAATGATCCCCTTATCTCGAGCTAGCATATGACGGAGACAGTATGCGTTCGGACGTATTCTTACTTATTTGTATCGTAACTATATAAGCTCTCTTGCTCAGAACACCAGATTCACCATTAGAATCGTTGTCTTTTTTCAATTCATTCCTTCTTATTGGAAATAACGGCATTACCGGGGCGGGTAAGTGAAAGTGGGCGGGACCCCTTGTAGAGGTATCCTATGCCAGAAAGTGCGCCCTTCACGCAAAAGTTCCTGTAAGAAAATCAGCATGCACTAGCCAACTGTACTGCTGTACACCTCACACTAAATAGGACGTCTACCTGCCAAGTAATCGTGCTTTAAAGTCACTCAGTCTGCTTTCGCCTCCCTAACAGACCAAAAGCTTCGAACCTTTCGAAATGTGAGCAGTACACAGCATGACTATACTTTTTTGAGCATATGCAACACCTGAACGGGCAGGGTAAACGAAAGATAGGGAGAGTAATGCGATGCGAAGTGATATAGAGCGAAGAGACAGGACAATGGTGAAATAATTGATGGATCGACACCCTAGCGAACACTCCAACATACACATAACGGTTGAGATTTGATTTCTGCGGGCAAGTAGGCTAGAACACGGTGCATTCAAAGGACCCCTTCAAAGGAACTGCTGTAAGGGAAATGAGGATCTTGCCTGAACCCAGGGGAGAGAACTCTCGCGCAATTGGACCGAGTTTCATGAGAGAAGTGTCCTGCCTCAGGGTAATATTAGATTCGCAGAATGAAATTTTGTGTGCTCTTCCTCCTGGAGACTTGGGTCCACTTCCGTTCATTCCATCATAAGCAGTATTATCTTTCAGCTAAGTATAGCCCTGTTCGCTACGGATGATGGGGCCTGTCAATGAGGCACCTCAGGATACTTGCCAACCGCAAAGCCTCCCTCCTCCTTCTTTCTTTACCCAAACTTCTTCTTTCCCTCCCTTCTTGATCTCTTTCTTATCCATTCCTTCAAATGCACGACCAACCTATGCATGGAAAAGATTTGGACTCTCCCAGCGAGAGAATGTTTGGCTGACAGTATCTTGTGACCGTCACCGAGGCTGATTTCACACTGTGCCAAACAGTTTCCTCCAGCTAATGAATCGGATAATCGGACGACAACAATCGTTGGAAAACGACTGATACGAACGAAATGATACAGTCTTCTCACTTGCTCGCTCCGATAACCGATGGAAAGAGGATTCGGCGCCGTGCCAAACCATTTCACCAGACACGCCCATCATCCGCAGCGATCAAGGCTGTATGTGCACCCATAAAAACTGGTAAGCTAAGCCCCTAAGCCATGGACAGCAATGGAAATCATGAAAATGGGCCAAAATCCAGGCTTTTCTCGCGCGTGCGCATCATGACGAAAAATGACCTCCAATCAACACCAGACTTGATGAAAGCTCAGACTCATATTTCAAGAAGATACATATAGATCAGATGGGGATGCCGCAAAAAAGGACTAGAATATAGTCCCATCAGACTAATGGAGAACAGAAATAAATATAGTCAGCAACTGATTACTTGAATGACTAATACAAACTTAAAAAGTAAAAGAAACAACTATTGGTCATACCGAGTGCGTTTGGATCTTGCCATGGATTACGCATCTGTTGTGGTGACATGTGACCCCATCCAGCTTGTCCACCTGATGCACCTCCACCAGGCATGCCGGAAGCCCACGGCTGAAAAATGGACAAGAAAAATCCACAAAAAAAATGATAAAGGAAACATGTTCAGACGTTCGAAAACTTAAAAAAACCCGAGATCCAGAATACTAGCGACTCAGTGCTGAAAACTGAAACTGAAAGTCAAATCTTCATGATTACCATTAATTACTTCAAGCGGCCCAGGACTGGGACCAGTTCCAACGCAACAGAACAGAAAAAAGACCTTGAAAAGCGCCTAAATGATGTCTGTTATTATGAGGGGTACGATGTTCGCTCGAACAAACGCTGCGCGACTCGCTGCTGTTCGCGACACGGAATCGATTCGACGAGCAATGTGATGGGACTGCATGCGGTTCACCCGAAAAAAAAACATTCTGAGCTATACTAATTTTCAACAGAATATAATAAATTATAAAATGTATCAATAAACACCTTAAACACCCCATGAAATCTCCAGTGTCACATTCGTTATCATTTAATATCAATTAAAATGGTGATTCATAAACATGACACCAAATTACCCCCATCCCCTTGATCGACACGTACGGTTAATTTCCAAGCGGACCCTTGAAGTTTGCAAGGTGAAAATGCGCCGTAGAAATTAGCTACTTCCGTCACTCGAAAAAAAAACACAGATGAAGAGTGAGATGCGATATGTTGCTGTCCCTTATCCGCCATTGGACACCCCATGTACACGCCACTTGCAACGCGTGATGCCATTGGATACCAAATGCATACGCCACACGTTGCTGGCATGATGCCAACACGTTCACTGTGGGACCTAAACGACCAAGGTCCCGCAGCAAACATGCTGTACGCTGAGTGAATGGTGGGCGGATATATAAAGAACATTCAGCCTATCGCAATCCTTTACATTTACTTCTCCGCATAACGTAGAAGAGAACTGTTATTTTCCGAGAGGAAGGGTACCCAACCCAACTTGGAAAAATTCACCTTGCAGGTATAGTTCTTCTTGAAAACTGGGCATATCTTGGCTCTGCGGAAAATTTCCTACAAAATGCCATCCCACTCAGCATTTCCCCCTTTGGTACGACTTCCCTC